CTAAAAAATATATCACATTCAGAATCGAATTAACTAATTTTAGTGTATTTTAATCATGTTTTTCTATAAATTTAATTGAAAATATTATCTGTGGTATAAACTTTGGTTAGTTTGGTTAATTCAGTTCGGTATCGGATAATTCAGTTTTGAAATTCCTATTCTATTCGTGTTATTTTTATAGTTTGGTTCGGAAATTTTAGTTCGATAAGAGTAGGCTGAACATAAAATAAAATTATGACTCAATAACTTTTCATATGTATTTTGGGTTTAATTTACTTAGCAGGATCTCCAAACGTTAGATTTGTATAAATGGGGTTAGATTTGTATATTTTTTTTGGATCTCCAACGTTCATATTGGACCAAGAAATATGAAATCAACAGTGCGTTGCGTCTGTAACTCAGCCTGTGTATCACTAGAAAGAAGCTTGGTGTTTGTTTTGCGACCATGAAATTGGACATATTCATATTGATATTGCATCAATCCATTACTCTTATGATGAGACAATGTTGCTAATCAATGTCTCTATTCCATTCGAGATCACTTCTTGTTGAAGCTGTACCGTTAATATGGCTAAATCATATATAATTTCATTTTGGAAGTTCCAAGTCTAAGGATAAAAAGTACCTTTCCATAACAACCCAAAAAAGAGAATCTCTATGTTCTGTAACACAAAGAACAAAGTGAAATCAAAAGGTGAGAGAGACTACAAAACTCAAAAAAAGTATTAACGCATTTTACAACAAATGTAGGAGATCCATCCGGAGAATTCTATTGATACATATATTATTATTGAAAGCTTTTCAAGGCATACCAAATTTGGACAAGGCTGATTCAAATACGGTTGCGAATGCCTGAGAAGTACTCTGCTCGTCTGCTTTCAGTTTTATCTGAGCTTTGGCGGATGAAGAGTTTATGATACACTCCGCGAGATAGTTTGATGGTTCTGACTCCTTTTGTGCAAAGAAGAAGAACTTGAAGTTTGGAGATTGACCTCCCGATGCAATGCAGTGAATTGAATGATTCTGCATGTGCTTGATAAGTGATTGTGGAACTGTCAAGGCCACGATGCCTTGAGGATTCACAGAATAATCCTGCACATGAAGTCAACAAAGTTACAATCTTTCATCAGTCAAATACCTCGAGAACCTATGATGTTTGAATACGAGGAGCAAGGAAAAATGAAATCTTTCATGAATTTAGAAACAGGGACACAAACTTCAATGTTACGATTCCAAATGCAACTAACCGTAAAAGAAATGTAGGCAATAGATTTATGATAAAAACCCGTGCTAAGTTAAGCTTCTTGGCAAAAGAGGAAGAAAAGTCAATTAAACTATTGTCTTTCGTAAGGCTAGAATGTACTTGGAAGGTAAAAAACTAGCAGTAACGAGGTGCAGAATTGTGTAAGAACAAAAACAAACCTGTGTTAACGATATTGGTAACTGGCGCCATTTCTGTTGGAAGGCGCTTGGATCTAGAGCAGCTCTTGGGTTAAGTTTCAAAAGAGGCGGCGATGGTGTTGGAGCAGGAGCTGTTGATACACCCAAACCAAAGAGATCATCAAAACCAAAGCTTGATTGTGGGGTAGTTGTGGATGTGGCGGGGCCGGAGATTGCAAGCTCTTGCATTTGTGAGGTTATTGTATTAGAGGAGCTTTCATATGAAGGAGCCGTGTAAGCAGAACCATTGTTATTGATAAGTCCTTTATTGTCATCTTTCTCGTCAGTACTCAGAAGCAGGTCCTTGTCATTAGCCTCAAATTGCTGAGCAGGAACAATGTCACTGGAAGCTTCAGGTGTGATGGGAATATTTCCAAGTTCGTCTGAAAACTCAAAGGGCCCTCGGTGTTCCTTATCCGTGAACATGTACGATGGCTGCAAGAATTTTTTATTATACTTCAATTTGATCATCAGTATGAAAACAACTAGAGAACCTCTGAATAATATACGCAAATAAATGCATACTACTACATTGGTTTTAAAGGAAATATACCTTTTGGTAGATCACAGATAAGCTGTTAAACTCGTCAAATATTCGGTCTTTGATTTCACTGCTTTGAGTGTCAGCAAAGACTGATACCGCCTGTTTTGGAGGACTCACAACACGTTCTGCCACATGTACATCGTATTGCAGAACCCGATAATAGAACAAGGCTCGGTCATGAACATCCTACTCCAACAGTTAAAATTATTCGATAAGTGATTTAATCGGCCTATAGCTTCAAAATAAAAGAAAATTAAGAACAGGAAGATTGGAAGATACCTGATGAAAATCAGCAATGCCTGCAGCTAGAGCTGTTCCTAAGGCTTTCTGAGTCTCAGGAGCCCTCTTGAAAAAGCATTTCATTGCTGCCGTTAGGAGATGCAAACGAACCTGCTCAACGGGACAATACTTTCATTATATGAATGTGCAAGTCCTCATTCTCAAGCCAACATGGAACCATTAGTTTCAGTAAATCCTACTATCAAGAAAATATTGTTAGGTCTACATAATTTTCTGGAAAAAATCTTATGAAACTACTGCCTCTTCATATTTCACTTCATACACAGTTCTTCAAAGCTTCTATGTGTTTACATGCTACATTTTCTTCTGATCCCATTTTTAATACCTATTGTTCTTCCTCACCTTTGACAGAAATATGCATATCTTTGCAGTTTAATATAGGAAAACAAAGATATACAGTGAAACAAAGATTCCGAAGTGTCACGCAGCATGGAAAAAGAGAACCATAAAAGTTATGCCTAAATACCTCAGCCGAATGCTCTTCCTCCCAGTTTTCTATCAGATTCTCCAAAATATAAGGAGCATCACTCATGTCCTGAGCATATTCACCCAACATCCATATGAGAGCCGCTTTACCCTTCGGTTCCTGGATATTTTTGCTGCTGATACCCCCAACAACAGAAATGCAATCATGGCTCCATTGTGGATACTTCCTTAAAAGGTCCTTCACAAGAACCTAGAGGAGGAACCAGACAAGTGGTAACATTATGAAAATGCGTACAATTAGAGTCTCAAGATGATGGGTAATGATCTCTGTGAATAGTTTACCAAAGTTTCAGCGGTCACGTAGTCCTTTTCCATTTCCAGAAATTGAAGAAGTCTATCAACAATTGCATTAACATCGTACTGCTGCAAAGCAATCTTCCCAACTGCCCGAATTGATTCCCTTGCAATAGGAATATCAACATTTGCAGCATACTCGCACAGTTCCGTCACTGAATGGGCAGAAAAGCACATATCAGTCGCATTAAAGAGGCAGAAAAGAAAGGTTTTCTCGTTCCAGTTACCATATTGACATAGTTTGAATCAATTACCAATTTCGTACGTGTTGCTCTCATTTGCAACCGCAGTCAACATCTCAAGCTTCAACTTTTTGACATATGAGGGTTCATTGTACTGGCAGTAGAAATGCTTATAATCTGCGGCAAAGATGAATGGTGCACGAACAACCAAAAGATGAAGGTGGCTCAAGATTGCATACGACTGCTCTGGACTTCCAGAACTGACGAGAGTCAGAAGCGGGGATTTAATACGCTCATATACCTATACAAGATCATCTCGCATTAGTGAGACAGTGATCACGTTAAACAAAAAACAAATATAATCAAGATTTCAAATTTAATCCCACAATGATGACTCTGTTAAGAGAGAGATGAATCCTTCTAGAAATTGAGATCTGATTTTCAAACTTTTAGACAAGGTCACCAGAAGTGATATAATGCTCACTATTTGGACACTGCAGTAACTATCCAAAAAATCTATCATCATGAGATCCCGCACACAACTAATTTCATCAGGAATAATTTTACATGACTAAGATAAAGGAGGTGGATTTTGTACCTGTTGATGAACATCAGTCATGGAGAGTGTTAACTGTAAAAACACTTTGACTGTTGCCAAGACAACAGCTCCATTGGCATGCTGAAGTCTGTCTTCCAACAGATTCATTATGTCAAAAATATCATTACTATCTGACGGTACATACTTTACTGCCAATTCAAGTATAAGACATTGTGCCCATTCATTGAATTCCTTAATCCTGCAAGGAAACACCACAATGGTAAAAGTTGCTTCTACTTTCTTAGATACCACGGCAACAACAAGGTATTGTGATTGAAGGTTGAAGGAGGAATTAAAGAACACACCGATTCAAGAAATAATATATAACTGGCTTGCTAAGCAATGAGTCCTTCTCCCGGCATGCTTCCTCAGAGTGGCTTGCTTCTAAACTCCAAATTTCTTGAAGTGCAGACAGGCAATTGGCAACTACCTGACAGCATATTTCTAACATTAAGCATACAAACAAGTGATACGCTAGGGAGAATCTATGTCCAAATGCATTCAACAGAGTATTCTGCACACAGAACAAAACTAACCTGAGCATCTGAATCATGAAGCATCAAACTTTTTAGCGTTGCAGGAAAATCGGCATCGATGCAGGTTGAGGCTGAGATGTGATAAAGCTTTAGTACTCCAGTCACAGCGATTGTTCTCACATAGCTGTTATTGTCCTTTAGCCCGCTCCCCAAGGGACCAACCAGATACTCCACAAGGTTTGGCACTCGCAAGGAACACAAGCTCCTCAGAGCAAGCCCACGGATCATAGGATCTTCATCTTTGCAATCCCTTTGGAGAAAATTGATCGTCAAAAGGGAAAGATCAGGATTACCCTTTGCATAGTTTCCAACATAAAGATAACACATTTTCTTCAGGACAATGTCTGATGTTGCCGAGCACATAACCATTTCTCCAAATACCGATGAGACGTCAATGCCAATCGTCATGTAAGATATCACTTTCTTGAAGAGGTCACGCTTGGAATCATCAACTCCTGGAGCTCTACTTCCAGCTAGCTGACGAAGCTGGGATTTCAGATCTGACACTTCGCTTTTCCTGATAAATAACAATTTCTAGCTTCATTCCGACTAAAGAGAAATCAGATAATCGATCATACACACTACATTTCTAGAAAATTAGAATCTAAAGGACAGATAATTCAAACTAATAGCAAAGTCTGAGTCCACTGGCGAAAAATCTCATCTTGAGCCAGATCCGTTACATGAAAGCTTCTAAATCCCTGGATTCGGTGTAGGAACAATTTAGATCAAACTAAGGAGCTGACCCGACCACCCATGAAAAGTTATGATCGAATCATTGAATTGATCGATGCTTTTAGCTTAAGAATGTAAGGAAACATCATTATGCGACATTGATCGAGAAAGAAGCAGAAGGTTAGAGCATGACTTACCCTGAAGGTTGGGACGGTGACGGATAACGCTGCGAAGTGGCTGGAGGAGACATTGCTAATTGGATTGGGATTCAGATACAATGAATTATCACTCCGTAAGATTCACCGGAGCATAAATTCACGAGATTCCGCCGATCG